TCCATACTAAGATATATATATTCTCATCCCCATTCTCTTGCATAATTTGAGTACTGTTCCGATCACCCAACACTGACTTGACCGTCAGAGTGTATGCGATCGCCACCACCACCGTTGGTTCCAACTATGCATTGTTGTGCGTAGGGAGGATTACGTTGAGTAACTATCCGTTGGCCACGTGAAGGGTCCAATTCGCGAGGTCAACAGATTGGCGTTGTCTATGGAAAAACTTCCCGTCCGAAAGTTCCACATTTTCCATCAAAAAAGCCACCAACAAACCATCAACTTACACTGAAAAGGGGCACGTTCCTGAAAAAGAACAAAGTCAACCTACAATAAAAATTCTTAACACCCTTGAAAAGGTAGACAAGATGAGTTATAATAATGAAGATGCAAATTTTGAACGGAACAAAGATGCCTCTGAAGAAGAGGTGATCCAAACCAATGTCACACATCGGAAACCCATCACCGGTGTCACCGAGGCAACAGGACAGCAACGTTCACTGAAGGAATGACTCAAATAGCTGCAGGCATGAGGGACATTGTAGCTCAGACTGTGGCGATACGTGAATTTTTCATGTAGGCCCAAGGTCATCAGGGCTTCCAGATGCCTCAAGAATCTTACCCAACTCAAGAAATTCCTACATCTCATGGCCAAGGACATTCGACCCAGCAGCGAGAACACCTTCTTGAAAGAGAAGTGGGTGCAGATGTCACATCCTACGCATAGGGGAGCCAATCTGCAGAACTATCGCTAGGAGAGAACTTTCCACCAGAATACGAGCCACAAAGGTCTGTCAGGGTCTTCGATCGAATAGGGCAGAACCCCAACAATAGGGTCCGCTCCATGCAGAGATCAATTCGATAAGAGCAGGAGCAAGATCAAGCACCTCCTCCGCCTAGAAATAGGTAGGAGAGGAGAAACCTAGTAGATTGGGGTAGTCGGGAAGGGGCACCTCCACCTCTCCAAAATGCTTCGGATAGGGAAGGCTCTGAAGGACCATGTCACTCCTATGAAATTGATGACGATGATGAGAACCTCACCTTCCCCAGAGAAATCCGAAGCTTCTCGATGCATGCATACTTCATGCCCCCTAAAATCACAAAGTATGAAGGAAAGTGGGATCCACAAAAACACCTAACTAAGTACATGAAGCAGATGAGCCTCGGAGGACCCTCCTTGGCACTGAAATGTAAGGCCTTCCATCTAACCCTCACCGAAGCTGCTGAGGTGTGGTACAGCAGGTTACCACCTCTGAGCATCAAATGTTGGCTAGACTTGAAGAAGGCATTTCGAATCAATACCTTTCATGAAGGGAAGGAGAAGCCCCAATGCAACGCTTACAAGATATGAGGCAAGCTCTTGGCGAGACGCTGAAAAACTATCTCTCCAGATTCACTGATGAAATCACATACTGCGAGCAAGTCACTAACAGAGAGGCCCTTTCAGCCTTAAAATGTGGCCTCAACATAAACACTTTGTTTTGGAAGGATGTACATAGCAAGAATCCCACCACCTATGACGAACTGGTTGAGATGATGAGGGTGGAAAATCATCAATGAGGAGATGATTGAGCACTGAAACCGTGTAGTTTAGGGACTTTCCCCGCCTTAGAGGTAGATGGGTCAAGGACCAGCGACACATCTCGTCACCCAGCAATGGACCCAGGTCAGTCACACAGTAGCCCCCACATCCGAACAGGCATTGCCTTCAGCCACTCTGAATGCAGTGCCAGCGCTGGCATATGAAAATGCTACTATTGAAGCAGGACCATCCGGGGGAAGAAGCAACTGACACAAGAAGAAGAGGCAGGCGAACAGGCCCCTGAAGGGGGCGAAGTTCTGCACATTCCACCAACTCTATGGCCAAGACATTAGCCAATGTAGAGACACGCCTCAGTCGTCGAACTAAAGTAACTCGAGCTCCTCTAGGGGGGATCATCATCATGAACGCTCCCAAAGGTCCACCTCTCCAAATCGGAAGTCGAGGCAACAACAGGATTAATCACCTCGGAGGAGGGAGACGAGAGATAGATCTTGGGGAGAATCCAGGCAAAGGAATCAAGCACCAACTACCGAAGGTGATATCATCCAAGAAATTGATACAATCATCAGGGGGGCCCACATTGGAAGCAACACCAAAAACACTCAGAGAAACTATACAAGGGAAGCAAAAGATCTACCGATGATTACTTACATTGTCAATCAATTCCAAGAGGCCAACAGAATGGCCCCAATCACTTTTTCTCAAGAAGATGCACAAGGGATTCATCACCCCCATTGTGATGCGTTAGTAGTACGAGTCGTAGTGGCTCGAAATGGACTCAAGCGCATGCTCGTCGACAATGGCAGCTCGGTGAATATACTGTTTGGATCCACTTTTGATAAAATGTAGATTGAACATGGATTGATCCCCATGGCCGACCCGCTATTTGGATTCACTGGCGGCAGCATCGTCCCACGAGAGTGAATTACTCTACCTGTCGAGATGGGGTCAGTCCCTAGTGGCCCACCACTTCATGGAGTTCCTGGTGGTAGACCACAGTTCAGCTTACCATGGAGTTTTAGGTCGACCTGCCTTGAAAGATCTTTGGGCAGTCACCTTCATCCATTACTTGTATATGAAGTTCCCAACTGAGCATGGGATTGTTACAGTTCGAGGCGACCAGATGGGCTCAAGAGCATGTTACCTCAACTCTCTGCTAAAATTCGAACCCCATACTATTAATGTCATTATAACAGAGGTCGCCAATGAAGTCGACATGGACGTAGAAATGCTCAATGCCCCTGAACAAGGGCATACCTCCGAACAAGAGGAAGACGTTGACATGGTAGAGGCCCCTGAAGAAGGGTATCCTCTTGATGAGTTAGATCCTCAAATCATCAAGTCTGAACCAAATACAACCCCAATGGAAGAACTGGAAACTTTCCCCACCAATCCTGAAGACCCCACTCAGGTCTTGCGGATTGGGAAAGCACTACCCCTGAAGTGAAAGAAGAAATAATAAACTTTCTGAAAAGGAACATGGATATCTTTACCTGGAAGCACAAAGATATGGTGGGAATAGATCCAAGGGTTAGTTGCTACCACCTTAACATCAACTCCTCCCGTGCCCCGCATCGACAGAAAACACGAGCCCTCAACTCAGAGCGATATGAAGCACTCAAAGAGAAGGTCAACAAACTAAGCCGCAGTGACATCATCAGAGAAGCCATTTATCCAAAGTGGATATCCAACTCGGTGCTCGTGAAGAAACCTGCGGGAAATGGAGGGTATGTATAGACTTCACAAATTTGAAAAAGGCAGTCCTAAGGACAGCTTTCCTCTCTCAAGGATAGACCAACTGGTGGACTCCACTACTAGATATGAGCTTTTGAGCTTTATGGATGCATACTCAGGGTACAACCAAATACCCATGTTTCGATGAGGAATTCATATCGTTCGTCATAGATGGATGATTGTGTTGCTAT